CTTCAGTCCCAGCGCCGCGGCCGTGGCCGCCGTGGGCCGTTATCCCAAGCCGCTGGCCGAGCTGCCCGGCCGGACGCCCATCTTCTGGCCCGGAGTGATGCAGAGCCCGCCCTGGAGGGACGCACGCCTGGCCTGCACCCCCCGTAAGTATGGCCACCGCCCGCCCTCCCGGGCCATTCTCGGGTCGCGGCCCCTGGCTGTGCAGACTCGGTCCCCTTCTGTCCTCCTCGGTGGTGATTTGGCCACGCCAAGATCGCAACTCTCGGATCAGGCCAGGGTTCGCGGCAAGGGATGCTTGCGCTCCTGCGTCCCGGTGGGGTTCCCGAGCGCCCAGACGCCCCTAAGCCGTGGGCACGCTCTGCGGGGTGTGTGCGTGTCGGTGGGGGACGCGACGCGATGCGGGGCATGTGTCTCGGCCTCAGCCCTGGCTGTTCACACCACTGCCCACACGAGGCAGCAGGTCTCGCCCGGGCGAGGGAGGAGGACCGGGAGGAGAGGCCCCTGAGCCTTGCGTCTTCCCGGGAACTCTGCCCCGGTAGGCAGGGGTCCCCAGCGACCTTCGCCTCTAACCTCCTACCTGAGAATTAGTGGGAGCCTGCGGCAGGGAGCCTCTCACTGTCCTGAGTGTATATCTGCGTGCACACCTCTGTCCTCAGTGTCCCCGACCCAGGTCTAGAGCTCGGGTACACCTGCGCCCCCAGGGAGTCCCTGAAGTCAGGCCCGCCTTATGGTGAGAGTGAGCCCGGAAGTGCGCTGGACGAGGTCTGCGCTTTGCAAGACTGCATCGGAACTTGCTCGGCTGGGGTACACAGAGAGCCTCGTACCCCAACTTTCTTAAAAGGGAAGGAGCGAGAAGGGACAAGGCTGGGGGAAGTGCTGTCTCCTGAAAGAAAGCTTGTTTGATGCAAATTGAGTTGCCTAAAGATCAGTTTTGACTTCTGGTTTGTCCTCCGCGGGGAGGCTCCCAGGTTTCCAGTTGAATCTGGGGGGCCCAGCCGGGGGTCCTTTACTCTGTTCTCTGCTTTTGACTAAGTCACCAGAGTTTTTCCAAAGTCTCCGCACTCCTTTCTTGAGCTGAGAGGCGGCAAATTGTGGGAAGTTGAGGGAGCACGGAGGCAGTTTTCATGAGAACTCCAGGGAGGGAAGGCGCACGAGATGGCCAGAGGATCTCGAGATCCTATGGGGCGGGATTTGGTGAACTTGTAGGGACCTTCAACAATGGCAAAGCCCCCTCCGCTTTGGGGAAGAGCTCAGCAGCATAAGACCTGGGGGGATTTCGAACTCTGGTGTGCAAAAACAAGGCTCCCTTTGTTTCCTTACCATTTCCTGGACACAAGTTAAGGGAGCGATAAAGGGGGGGGGGGACCAAAACAACCTAGTTATCCTTGGGCAAAAGTTCCGGGGCCATTGAGCGCCTACCGGGCTGGGGGCCACTGGAGCCTTTTCGGGCCCTCCCGAATTTAACGCGGCCTGCAAACTTTAGGGATAGGCACGCTTACTGTTTGACCGGCCTGGGCAGGAGGTGATTTACTGTCGCATCAGACACACCCGCTTATTTTAAAACAGGTGGGCGAAAAAATGCAAAGGTCTCAGGCAGCGGGGCTGGAAACACCGAGACTCTCTGGGCGCGGCCACCGCCTTAATGAAGCTTTCCTTCTCCCACAGGAAGGCTCTTTTCCAAGTTCGTTGCTTTTCAGTGGAACTGCATTTAACCGTTTTCTCTCGTCGTTTACCGATTTTCGCAGATCAAGGATCCATTTTGTTGGACAAAGACGGGAAGAGGAAACACACCAGACCCACCTTCTCTGGCCAGCAGATTTTCGCTCTGGAGAAGACTTTCGAACAGACAAAATACTTGGCGGGGCCGGAGAGGGCTCGCCTGGCCTATTCGCTGGGGATGACAGAAAGCCAGGTCAAGGTGAGTGGGCCTTGCAATCCTAGAGGGTCTGGGGGACTGGTGTGCGGTGAGCTCAGCACCCCCCCTCCCCGACACACACACACACACACATACACACACACACACAGGCGCGCGCACGCGCGCGTGCCACGAGGAATGGGGCTAGGGAGGGTGTCTTGCTCCGTGGAGCCAAGGGAAAAGTTTAGAACAGGAAAGGGCGGGTGGCTTACAAAGGCGCTGGGGGCTCACGGGTGGGCAAACTGTTGAGGAACAAAAGGAATCAAGCCCCGTCTTTGAAATTAGGTTAATCTAGAAGGCAGCATGTGCTAGGGGAACTGGCCATTATCAGAGAATAAAGGCATTACTGAAATATCAGCCCTAACACAGATAGCACCTCTTAGATAGCTTCTACTTATTCTGTTTGTAAAGATAGCCATGCATTTGTTTGTCAATTCAAGTTTCACTGGTTATATGTAATTTCCTACTGTAGAGCAGCATTCTAGGCTCACTATATTAGGGTTTTGTGTTTTTTTTTTTAATTGCAAGATTAAAAGAAAACATGTCTAGAGAATCAAGTCACTTACCATTAATGAACCGGCTTAGCTGTAAACAGTCATAATGGAACAGTAACTTTTCAAATCCGTGACTAACATACATTAGTACATTACGGGCTTGATAAGTTTGTGAACAAATTTAAGATATGTTCCTGCTTATGAGAATCAGTTAAATACCTGTGCTTATAATTATACAGTTTATTTCCAGGAAATAAAATTTTAGAACTCTTAAACAGTAAGGGATTAAGTGAGCTGACTACATTAAAACTGATTATTTCCTATTTTTCCAGTTCCCATTTTTGTCCTTCCCCCAGTTTATTATCTTTTATTCCTTTTTTTTTTCTACATGTACATTTTCATGACTTTTCTTGTTTCTTATAAAATTAAGCTGCAGTAGCATCAGCCATATCTACTGTTTGAGGGTTATTTCCCCCTGGACAAGCACCATAAAATATCTCAGGAGTGATATTGTATGTGACCATTAGACTCCTGGCACTGAAAATCTTTTTTGCAGCAGGCTAGTACAGAGCCTACTACAGCAGTTTGGAGGTCTTCATTTGTCACTGTAAATATGTCTGCATGTCTAAAAGTGAATTATCATAGTTGTAAAGTAAAATTCACCTTAACAATTCTGATTCTCTAGATAAAATACATAGCAGATGGGAAACATGATAGAGAATCGTTTAATATTTTGGGGAAACAGATTGCTTATTGCTTATGCCCTAGGTTAAAATAGATGGATCAAAGATGGTGTCAAAGATGACTAAACATTTTAAAAATCTGTTTATAAAATTAATCATCTTGGGAAGGCAAAGCGTAGGCATACTAATGGCGGAGCTATACAATGAATAAAGTTTAACTTTCTAAAAATAACCACTCGATGAGAATTCTAGACTTCACTTTGGTTTTATGACAACCATAAAGATACATTTGGCAAATTACTAAATACTTCCATGTGTTTATGTTGGTTATTACTCCTGATTTCAGGCTTGTGTTTTAACAGATTTTTAAAAATTTATTGCTCATTTATAGTGTACGTGTTAATTGGGTAGGGAGATTTTCCTACTATGTTTGTGCATATTCAGACCCGAGGAAAGTGAAATATATATCTGAAAGGAAGACAGAGATAACTGGGGTAGAAACTGTACTTTCCTCAGCAAGTCTCCCTAAAAAGCAAAGTGCACTTTAGGCTATTTGAAATTCCTCAATCTAGAAATGAATTAGACTCACAACAATCTGAGACAACTTTAGGAAGGGTGAAAACTTTTCTACTTTAAACCAGAAAGTAGGAAAAGGGGCTTATTTTTCAGAGAAGCTTATTTTACGATTCCTTACTTTTGTTCTGAGAAATCGCTCACTGACAACCTCAATACCCTTGTGTTGCTATCGCTATGGCAACGGCAGTCAGTTTGTTGGGGTTTGTTACTCTGAGGAACCCAGGGCGGTGGAGACTGACTTTGACGGCCCAGACAAGGGAGGTCCCTGAGGGAGGGTGGCAGGCTGTCAGGGGCCCCGCAGGAGGGACGTCGGGATGTGGGGAGTGGTGGCCCCGCGGGGATCTGCTCTCGCTGAATCGCCCCCGCCTGGTTTCCGCCCTGCCTCCTCCTTCCTCGGTCCCCAGGTTTGGTTTCAGAACCGCCGCACCAAGTGGAGGAAGAAGCACGCGGCCGAGATGGCCACGGCCAAGAAAAAACAGGACTCGGAGACCGAGCGGCTCAAGGGGACCTCGGAGAACGAAGAGGAGGACGACGACTACAACAAGCCCCTGGACCCCAACTCGGACGACGAGAAGATCACGCAGCTGCTGAAGAAGCACAAGCCGGGCGGCGGCGGCGCGCTCCTGCTGCACTCGTCGGAGAACGAAGGTTCGTCCTGAGCGCGCGGCCGGCTCTGCAGCCCGCGCCGCGCCCGCTCGGCCCGCACCTCCGCCGGGCGCCAGGGACCCCGCGCCGCCGCTCACACTTCGCACCGCGGCTCCTCCTCCTCGCTGGAGCACCAGGCCCCTGAGTGCGCCCTTTGCTACTTTCTGAAATGTATATATCTATTTTTTTAACCTAGAGTTGTGCGAAAAGAAAAAAAAAAGGGGGGGGATTCGGGGAGTGGGTAAGAAGGCGCGAAACCCAACCGCAGTTCACTGCGTAAATTACGCACCAGAACCTGCCGCCACACGGCCCTCCTAGCTCGGTCCAGGCTCCCTGGGCTGCCTCTGAGCGCGCCGTGCGCGGGATTCCCATGCGCCCTCACCTGGGCCGCACCGGCGACCTCAGAAGGCGAGGAGGGGTGTTTTTGAAGGGTCGACAGCCGCTCCGCTGGCCACCAACGCGCCATCGCCGATAGGAAGAGGGGCGTTTTTCTCCTCCAAAAAACTGCCGTCCCGACTAAAGTAACCTGTTGAAGGCTCTTTGTAAATAAATCGTGAGTCACACTGACTAGAAGTTACTTTATTGTGAATATTTAAAATATAAAATGTTTTTTGGAATTTGGTATAAAACGATGGACCTCCCTGCTGTTTCTATCCCTCTCCTTTTAAGAGCCAATCACACCATACTTACCCCTTTTATTTGGAACTTGATTTGAGACCCAAGAAAAGAATATTATCTCTATCTACCATCCCTGCCCGCTCCACGTCCTGCCCTGGATTTGTTGAACCTCATGTTTTCCCTCCCCTGTCCTGTCACCAGCCCACCCGGGTATCTGCACGGGGCTCCTACTCTTGGACTTAAAGTATAGAAGGCCCCACACCTTCCTCTCCCTTCCTCTCTGAAATTGCACAGCCGTTTGTTGCTATTTATTAGTGTTTTAAAGAAGATATTGGGGAGGGAGGGACGACCATAGCTTGTATTTAATTTAACCCCTTTCTGATTTTAAAAAAGATGCGTGTTAAAGTAGATGGTGGGAATTGTTAAAACTGTTCTGGGTCAGACACATAACAATCCATTTAGTTGCTGTAATTGAATCTGAAGTGTTTTGTATCATAAAAATACTATAGAATATGTAAATGATTTCCTTTTTTTAAGCTAATAACGGTGATATATTAGCATCTTTAACCTTTATTAATTTATATAAGAAATTCGGTTTGTAAAGAGAAGAAAAGCCCCTTTACAAGACCAGTTAAATGTAATGCACTTTCTGTTTCAAAGGATAAAGCAAATTAAAAACAAAAACAAAAACACAGTTTGAAGATGTCTATTGCCTTAAATGAAAGGGTGCAGATCACCTAATCTCATGAGATCACAAATAATACAAGACCACACAGCTGTTGGGTGTTTTTTTGTTGGTTGATTTTTTTGTGGGTTTTTTTTTATGTTGCTTGAACGAAATAGCTACCTACTCCTTCATTTTATTTCAGTTTACCTTTAAAATGGTAGTGGGATGAGTCACATCTCTCACTCTTCTGCCTTGGGAAGAGAAAGGAAGTACAACCCCACACAGTAAGACTTCTAGGAGAGACTTTTCTGATGGGATCCTTCTGATGTCTGTGTTGCCTAATTTTTTCCTGATCACCTTTTCCTTTCCAAGGAAGTCCCTGAGGGCCTCTGGGAAAACCTCATTTCCATATATCCAAGATAGCTCCTTAGTCAGCCCCTAACTCGATTAGTGGAGAGTGCAATCCCAGAGCCACAATACTGTTTCATGCTTACCACCCTCCTCTCAACCTCAGCCTGTTAATCTCCTTCTAGAAGTCTGTGGAAGACAGAAAGCCCTTTCCCCATTTGCTGAACAAGACATTAGAGAAGGATAAATGTAAAGAAAGTTCTTACTGATGTGAACATTTTGGGCATTAAGGAAACAATATCATGACTTCTCTGGCTGAATTTGAAAAGGGGAGAAAAAGGAATTCCAAGGAAAGGGTCTCTTCACCATCTTGGGATCTTTTTGTTTCCAGACACTCAGTCATACCTCCCGTGAAATATAGTTATCCTCTTAGTGTTTCAGGTTAATCAGCTTGTATTGAAAGAGAAAAATCAATAGAATTCAGTGGATTCTTTATGCTGGTGCTGGTAAAGAAAGCACGGGTCCTTTTTGTTCTCTTGAAAATAAAAAACACAACACTCCCTTGTGAAACACAGAATGAAATTTCCTGATATTATTAAAGGATGCATTTCCGATAACAAGGTTTACTAAAAGGCTGCAGATCTGCTTGGTTTCTAAGTACTATCTTTTTTAAGCTTTCCGTATTTCTGAGAAGTCTCAAACTCTTTGGTGTTTCTGTGTTCTTAGCAAGACTGAGATATGTATCTTATACAGAGGCAGCTATTTTGAAGGTAGCTTTGCTGCACTGAGGTGATGCAATTTCAATCCTAGCTGTAAACAGAACAAATCAGCACCTGCTCGCTTTTCCTTTTCCCTCTCTCCTTCCCTCTCATCCTTCTTTTTCTCTTTTTCTTTCTCCTTCTCAGTTCCCCCATTTTCTTTCTCTCTCAATTTATGAATGAACTAGGGAGAAGCCTGCTATGGTGCCACCTTATCTTTTAAATTTGTAACAAGTTGAAGTCTTTATAAACTTTTTTTAAAAATAAAAAAACCTTTACCCAGTCTACTTGTGCTTTGAAAAGTCAAACAACTTTTCCTTTAGTCCTTATTCCTAAAAAAAGGAAAGAGACATAATTAGGCATGTTATTCCTGTAATGTAATAAAATAATCATAATAATAACAAGTAGTAGTAGTTGTTGTTAAGTGCTGTTGAGTTGCTTGCGACTCAGTGACCCTATGTACAAGAGCCGTAAACCCTGCTCTAACCTGTGCCATCCTCGCAGTCTCCAACTACCTACTCCCATTACCCCAATCACTGAATCGATCCATTGATCCATCTCATTTAGGGCTTCCCTTTTTTGCACTGTCCCTCCACCCTCCCAAACATGATGTCCCTCTCTAAGGACTGCTCCCTTCTTTCAACATGTCCAAAGTATAAAAGTACAAGTCATTGGTGATGGGGTAGGAAGGGGACACACACAACCCAAACCCTTGGGTTTTTTCTGAAGAAATAAATGGGTTTATTGTATTGATTCCAAGGTTAAATATGTAGAAAAATTACTCCTACTTTTTTGGGAGTATTCCCTCTGAGCTCCTTGCCTTTATATGGAACACATCTAATAAGAATTTTAGAAGCTGATGGCTTAGACTCTACCCTGTTGTTGTGTACTGTGGAGTCAGAACCAACCCAGAGCTGACCCTCCAGCATAAGCAGTTAATTACATGGGAGGAGATTGCCCATCCTTCTCCGGTGGAGTAACTGGTAGGCTTTTGAGATTGCAATGTAGTTTCTTGCCACTAGGCCACCATTGCTCCCTTAGACTCTACCCTACAGGTAAATAAATGCCCAGGAGCTGACTGGTGTACTTGCTGGCCAGCAGCATTAGTAGCACTTGTACATGTGTTAATACCAACCACAATAGTTGCTGAGACCGTGCTGAACTTGCATTCGGTCTTTTTTTCTAGTTGTCTGAAACAATGGCAAGGTTTCCAGACACTTTAATTCCACCCAGGAATCCAATTGACCACCACTTCCCACTGGCCTCTCAAAACTGGTTAGTGAAGGGTAAGTGGTTAGGACATCTTATCTAATTCTTTTATCTTGCTTGGCTTGATTTAATTCCATTTAGGTAGGTCAGAGACAGTAAAGCTGGTGCAGGATAGAGCAGGTTTCAGGGCTGTTGTACATAGTGTCCCTATGAGTTGCAAGTGACTTGATTACACATAATAACAACAACAACCACAGGAAAAGTTTTCATGAGAGTTAATATGGTGGAAATGCTGATGAAAAACTTTACTACTAAAGCAATGGAGAACAAGAACTTTTTTTTTTTAATTTTAATTTTGGCACTAACAAAAAGTATTTTCATGGCAAGAACAACCAAATATATGGATTGCTAGCCAGTCATTGGGGCTGAAGTCAAATCCATTGCCATAAAGTCAATTCATTGTGACCTTCCATCAGGTTTCTGAGGCTTTGTGGATATCTTTTTAATGTAAATCTTTATGGTAGGTAACTTGTCCATCTTCCTTTCTCAGAGTAGCCAGTCGATTAGAACTGCTGAATTTTTGGTTAATGACTCCCAAATAGAAGCCACAGCAATGGAATATTGTTGTTGTTGTTGTTAAGTGCCGTCGAGTCGCAGGCGACTCATAGCGACCCTATGAAGGAGAGTCCTCGACGCTTGGGTGCCTTTCATCCTCTCTCCAGGTTCATAGGGTTTCCAGAGGCAAGCTATTATGGAAGTGGATGCCACTATACAATGAAAAAATGAGAACTGAGGTACAAATGGAGATCTGTACACCAATGTTCATAGTAGTGTTATTCACCACCACAAGAACATGTAAACAGCCCAAATGTCCAACCACAAATGGATTGAGAAATTATGGTACATTCATACGATGGAATACTATGCAGCATGCAGGAGCAATGATTTAGAAAATCGCTACCTAACTTGGGAGGGATTGGAGAGCACTATGCTAAGTGAACTAACTCAGTCCCATAAGGACAGATATTGTATAAGGCCATTATTGTAGAAATAGAAAGGTAACTGGTAAAACATGTATGAGGATCTAAGAGGGAGAGGGTAGGAGCAGAGTGGTGAGGATGGGCAGGGGGTAATCATAGGGTGATACAATCTGCTTAGTAGAGGGAGGGGTGGGCAAAAGAAATGGGAAAGATCCAGTGTGAAAAACAATGTATACGAACTTTATAAGTAAACCAATATAAAATTAATTAAAAAAAAAGTCACAGCAAATGGTCTGATGGAGCACTGCTTTTAGAAAATGCTTACAGAAGAATGTTGTTCTTTTGTGCCTTCAAGTTGAAACCAATATGTAGCTGACCTTCCCACCAGCAGGCTTGCAGAGGCAGTCAATCCCACAAAGGGGAGCTTGACCACC